CCCTCCGACCGAAAATAACCCCCGTCACTGTGGATCCCCAAAGTGCAACGTGCACTAGTGGCGCATCCTAAAGAGATCAATGGCCCCCTATTGGTTGATTTCTCTCGATCGAAGAACAGTATTTCAATGTTCTCAAGTGTTCAGGGACTACACAAAATGGTTACGAGACCGAATATGGTACTATGTGGGAAAGGAGTCTGTGCTTTACACTAGTGAGTTTTAGCTCTACTATTCTTGAGTTACCTCTCCTTCACGCGATTTAGAAGTGAGAGAGGAAATTATGGCGGATCCTAAGGGAGCGAAAAGTTTAACCTTCAGTTTTATTATTATTTATGAAAGACCTGCGTTCATTCTGCTTTTTTCTTTGTTTTTCCAAACTTTTCCTGTCTTCACTCCTCCCCCCCCCCAAAGTATTCGAATAGAACCAGTGCCTTCGAACAGCTTGGTTAACTTTTGCTTCCTGGCTTTATCTAATACTTACGTCCATATCCCACAAATGGAGTGGGCGTGGCCGCGTCATTTGAACATGGCAAGATGCCTTCTCATGGTACATTTCCATATGAGGCAACTATTATCTTGCCGTGTGCTGGCACAAATACTTGATAACAACTGCAGTAAAACGAAAATATCCCACAAGAAGCTCAGCAGCCATCACGTTCAGACTAACTACGCGGCCACGCCCACCCTATTTCTGAGATATGGGGCGTATTTGTGCTCTAATAACCTTGTGGTGGGCATTCAAGGGCTCCAAAACTAGAACTACCGTCATGGAGAAAAACTGGAACTAACGTAATGAGGACCTTTGCCTAAGCCCAAGGGTGAATGAGCTCCCAGGTAACTAAATCATTTCCAAGCACTGTTAGGGGGTTAATCCTACATAGTTTCCCGAAGAAGTCCGAATGCTCTCTTCAAGGTTATTGGAGCTGCTACTCCAATGCAATTACTGGTTATTTACAGCTGATGGTAACTATTTGGCGGATCTCAAATGTGGTTCTGTTCCTTACACTCTCACTACGGTTGATTTCGGCCCGACGTCAAATGAGAACATTAACAACTCTTTCATTCTGCAG